CTGGCGAAAAACAAGCCTCCAGGAATTGACCTAATACCAACTGAGATGTTTCAACAAACAGATGCAGCACTGAAAGTTCTCACTCATCTATATCAAGAAATTTGGAGGACAGCTACCTGGCCAACCGACTGGAAGAGATCTATATTTATGCCCATGCCAAAGAAAGATGATCCAACAGAATGAGGAAATTATCAAACAATATCATTAATATCACATGCAAGTAAAATTTTGCTGAAGATCATTCAAAAGCGGTTGCAGCAGTACATCAACAAGGAACTGCCAGAAATTCAAGCCAGATTCAGAAGAGGACGTGGAACCAGGGGTATCATAGCTGATGTCAGATGGATCCTGGCTGAAAGCAGAGAATACCAGAAAGATGTTTACCTGTGTTTTATTGACTATGCAAAGGCATATTGTGTGGATCATAACAAATTAGGACAATTGGTGAAATCTGAATAAGGTCTATAGACTAGCTAATAGTATTATATTTATTTTAATTTCCTGATTTTGATCATTGTGCTGTGTTTATGAAAGAAAATATTTTTGTTGTTAGGAAATACACACTGAAGTAGCTAGGGGTAAAAGGCCAATCATGTCTGAAATTTATTAAAAATGGGGGTGGGGGGCAGGGAGGGGGCAATAAAGAAAATGTGGTAAATTTTGGGAAATCTAAGTAAAGAGTTGCGGTGAAGTGAATTACTTTGTATGGCTTTTCTAGTCAGGTATAGTCTTGTGACTCCCACAAAATGATTGGGTGTGACTACGAAAATAAGGTGCTTGTGGCCCACCAAGGGGATTGGATAGTATTGCTAACAGTGCAAAATAAGGTGTATGAAACCTTAACGAGGGGGTTGGTGCCATCCCGCTAGACTTAAAAGAGAGCCAATCCCACAGCAGAGAAAGGAACCTCACTACCACCAAGAAGAAGAAGAGCCAGAAGTGCAGTGTGTCCTTCGGACTTGGGGTCCCTGTGCTCAGAACCTCCTAGACCCAGGAGACACAGAGTTGTAACACCAAAGACAGCCAGAAGCAGCAGCAAGCACAGCAGAGTCCAGCAGCAGAGAAACGGTGGCAGCAAAACCAAGAGACCAACACAAGATGGCTGCAGTGGGCTTCCCAGCACCTTCAGGAAGGCTTGCTGGTGGAGCAGGGTACCTCTGGGCACTTATCGGTAGAGCTAAAAGAACTCCGTAACACTTGCGTGAGCAGTGCTCTGAGCAGGGCCGAGGGCCGAGGGCTGAGAGCCAGGAGAGGAGCCTGTCCTCAGGGAGCTGAGAGGAGACTTGCATGGCCAAGAGGAGCTGAGAGAGCAGTCCTGCACTGAAGAAGGGAGACTTTGCCTACAGGCTTCCTGATCCTGATCCCAAGCTGTAACCTGGTACTCCCTTAATAAGTGCCTTAACTGTGAATATGGTCTGTGAGTTCTTTGCAGCCATTGCAACAAATTATTGAACCCAGAAGAGAAGTAGAGAGTGCCATGGGAGGGACAGCTGATGTCAGAATTCATAAAAAGTTTGGAGAGAAGAGGTATGTCTGACCTCCACCCACATAGGAATCAGCCTTGGGCTAAAGCTGATCTTGATTCTCTCTCTTTCCCCTTGTGAAATTAGATGAGGAGGTCTGACGATGCCGTGCTGCCATTATTACAAGAGTAGAGAGAAGTTATTTGTACTATTCTTACAACTTTTCTGTAAGTCTAAAATAATATCAAAATAAAAAGTTTAAAAGAAGAAAACCAAGCCAAAATGCAGCTGTACTACAGGCAAGCAGCACTTCATACCTCAAAAATTACTGAAGACTTTTTATGAATCACATTTCCAAGTCATGTTCATTTCGGTGTGCTCTTTGTCCATCAACTCTGTCACCTGCAGACACTCACTGGCCCCCAACAGACTCACACCTGTGTACCCCACTCAGCTCCTCCCTCCCCAGCCCCTGGCAGAGATGTCAGGAAACTGAGATGAGGAGCCCTGCCCTCCTAGCAGCCCTGACCAAACACATTACCTGTGGAAAACCCGAACAAGAAAACAAGGTAGACAAACATGAAACGACACAGGTCTCTCAGGATCATCTGCAGGAGAGAACAGCCTTGTCAGAGCCAAGCCAGACCCAGACAGCCTGAGGAGGAGGAGCTGAGGGAAGGGCCGGGACTCCAGCAGCCTGGGGGTTCTTCTTGAGCCCATATGGAACTGGAGAACATGCTGGAAAGGTTTGGTTTGGTGTTTTTAAGCTCAGGTGACTTGAAGAAATCATCTACCCCTCCCTTTACGGCCTTCAGTTCTAGGGGGTCTGGTACACAGAGGGGTCAAGTTTTAAGGGAGTTCCCACACCTGGGCCAAGGCCAGATTGCCTGATTCTTGGGGAATGGCCTGGGAATGTGGGTCTTGAGCTAAACCAGCACCTCCCCAGACAATACAGACAGAATGGGTGGCATTGGTGGGACTGGGTCTTACACAGCCATGGGGTCAACAAGGCTTTCTGGGGAACCCATCTAGGCACAGGGCACCCACCTTCTCGATCATGACAGCATAGATGCCCATCTGCTGGAAGCCACGGGTGTAGTAGAGCATGTTGGTCCAGCCCATGGCCAGGGAGAACACCATGGAGGCCACATACTCCTTGCGGTGGCTGAAGTACAACACCACAGTCCCCAGCATGAATATGGACTGCACAAAGCTGAGGGTGGAAGGACAAGAAAGACTGTCTAAGGGCACCCATTGGCCCCACAAACATGAAGGCTGCAGGCTGTCTTGGCCATTCTTCACAGGCACAGACTCAAACGATGCTGGAGCTCTGGATGGGCTGCCCCACTTCCCGCGACCCATGCATTCTCCGTGGGGGCAATATAGCCCCCAAAGAGGCAAAAATTGGTCTGGGGGTGCAAAAAAATCTCATTCTCTATTTCTAGAAAGCACAGATACAAATAAAGTACATAATCAGATATACAGTATATTTGTGGTATTAAAATTTCAAGGGAGGAATTATAAAAAAAATGTCTAAAAAGGTTCCTTGGGAGGAGTGATAACCCAACAACCTTCCTGCCCAGACCCCAGGAACAATGGCATCACTGGGCAATAGACAACCTAGGAGCCCTGGGCCCATGAGGAAGGGCAGGTCATCCTCTCCTGAAAAACCACAGGGAGGGTCTGTTGGTCACGTCCTCAAACTCAGGAGCAGACCCAGAGGAAATGTTGCTCAGCAACTTAGTCTAGTGGAGCCTGCCCAGGTAGGAGCACTGGAGCCAGGGGAGGACATCTGAATGACCCTATGACAGGTCTGCTCAACGGTCCCTCCTCTACTTGTTCATCCTAGGTCTCCTTGTCCTTGGTGGCCTCCAGCCAAGTACCCCTACCCAACCCCTTGAGTTTGCCCTCTGGAGCTAAAGTGTAGGTAGAAAGGATGGGGCCTGTGATCCCTAGGGACAAGCGAATCGCAATCGGATCAGAAATCAATTCCTTACACTTGCCCAGAATGAAGAGAGAGGTTCTGGGAATGAGGGGAAACCTGGCAAACAGAGTAGGGGTAGTGAACAGAGAGCCCAGGAGAAGGCTCTCTTGTCTGAAAGCCTCTTTCACATGTCGGCCTTGGAGGTTCCAGGCTTACTTTATGAAGGAAGGAGCTTCCCTGTGACATCCACATTGTTTTATAACTATATTTGTGCTTATCTGTCTCCTCCTGAAGCAGTGGTTCTCAATCCAGGGTGGTGCTCCAGGGGGCAACTGGCAATATCTGTAGACATTTTTGATTGTCAAGATTGAGGAACTGGGTGGGAGGGTACTACTGGCATCCAGTGGTAGAGACCAGAGATGCTGCTAAATATCCTACAATGCACAGAATAGCCTCTCACAACAAAGGATTACAAAAAAAAAAAAAAAAATCATTGCCATTGAATCAAATTCCGACTCATAGCAACACTATAGGACAAAGTAGAACTGCCCCCACAGGGTTTCCAAGGAGTGGCTGGTGGATTCGAACTGCTGACCTTTTGGTTAGCAGCCAAGCTCTTAACCACTGTGCAACCAGGGCTCCAACAAATGATTATCTGGTCCAAAATGTCAATAGTGCCCATGGAGTAAGTTTGTCAGGTTGGTCAGTGCCCAGCACCTGGCACATACTTGGCTCAGAATGGACACTCAGTATGCATTCCCCCAACAAATGTTTATTACAACAGAGGAAGAAAGGAAAGTCAGGAATAGGAGAATATGGAATGTGTGGCTAATTGCCTCCATGAACAATTGCCTCCTGTGCCATGAGATCAGATGAACTGGATGGTGCCCAGCTCTCATTACTGAAAATCTTGATCAAAGATTCCATAGAAGAATCTTGATCAAAAGATGGGAAATGCAGAACAGACTTGAAAATTCTCATGGACTCCAGACTTCCTGGAGCCATGGAGAGTGCATGAACCCCTCAAACTATTGCCCTGAGATAGTCTTTAAAACGTAAGCCAAAAATATCCCCTAAAGTCTTTTTAAAACCAAACAATAGTTTGGCTTAACTAGTAAAAAATGTTTGCTTTGAGTATTATGCTCTTTTAAGAATTATTTAGATGGGATCAAATTGACAACAGCAACTCAAAAGATTAGATAGGAACCTTAGTGGGCAGTGAATTCATATTAATAGGAGAGGAAAAACTCAGAGAAGGAGGGTGAGAATGGTTACACAACTCGAAGAATGTAATCATTGTCACTAAACGGTACATGTAGAAATGGTGTATGTTTGGCTGTGTATATTCTCAACAACAACAATAATATAAATAAAATTATTTAAAAAAAAAAAACAGGAAAAAAATGTTTATTGAGTGCCTTCCATCATTCATTCCACGTGCTCTCTGAGGTCCTTCTTTGTGCCAGGCCAGCATAAGGGAGACAATGAGCTAGGGTCTGGCTGCTTTTGTAACCTCAGGACTGGACCAAAAGATGCTGTCTGCTGCTGAGCCCCAAGAGTCAAATTGTCACTTACAAAAGCATCTCACTGTAGCTGTCCACAAACAAGGTCTTCATTGACGGCCGCCTCTGCAGGAAATACTGAATCTGCAGATAGAGAGAAAAGAGCCCAGGAAATGTTGCTGTTGTTAGTAGTTCGGTGCCATCGAGTGGGTTCTGACTCACAGTGACCCTATGTACAGAAGAACGGAACAGGAAACGTTAGATGTGGTTAAACAGTGAGCGCCAGGAATGCTTCCTAAGTGGCCCCACGGTGGGAGACAGGAGTGTGTTAAAGCAGCGATTATTAAGAGAGAACAACATGGGGTAGGCTAATGGGGTAATGTTACATGACTCAGTCAGAAGAGATTTTAAAATAATAATAATAATAGAGAGAGTGGAATTACAACTATGCCTAGCAGTAGAGACAGGAAGGAAAATCACCAAAATGTTATCAATGGCTATAACTGAATGACGAAATTTGGACAGTTTTTTCTCCTTCCTAATTTGTACTTTTGCCCCCTAATTTTCTTTAAGAAGTATACATTACAGTATAAATTCTTCTAACCAGCCTCCACTAAATTTACCAATTACCATCAAGTCAATTCCGGCTCATGACAACACCATGTGTTCCAGAGTAGAACTGTTCCAGAGGGTTTTCAGAAAGAGATTGCCAGGCCTTTCTTCTGAGGCACCTCTGGGTGGGTTTGAACTGCCAACCTTTCTGTTAGTAGTGCAGTGCTTAATCATTCGCACCACCCGGGGACCCACCAGATTACCAATGCTCCCATTCCCTGGAAATGTTCTAACTGGGGCCCATAGGCTTCTGAACACTGGCAGCCAGGAGCTCCTTGCTAGGACTCCCACACCCTCCTGCTGCCTCCCACCAGTTAATCCTGCCTTTGCCAAGAACACTTTTCTGCCAGCTGCACTTGTTGCTGCAGCTTCAGAATTTATTATAATGTAAACTATGAGTATGAAAAGATAGTTGGTTCTGTAAAGATGTAGTTCAAAGAAAGAACCAATAAAGGTGAGTCACTGAAAACACTGGGTATAGTTTAGACCAAAAAGATGGGGAGGACAAAGATCACAACAGTCTCAAATTCTGCGTTCAGATTTCTTTGTAAATGTCTAAATTCTCGCTCTTCTTTAAAGAAGCTGAAACAAGATGTTCTAATGCGTTATAGGTGTGGCTTTGGCTAGACAGATGATGGTAAACTCAAAGAATGGTCCCACATTCAAAGAAAAGACTGCTCACACATTAGAAGAATAGCTAAGGAATATGTGTATGGAGCGGAGTTTTTAGTTAAAATAAAATGCTCAGGTATACATGTAGATTTCTTTCATTATTATGAGCTTTAGTGGACTGTTTTGATTAATTAAGAGGTTTCCACTCAACTTCTATAATTAAATATTACATTCAATGGAGACCCTACCACACAAAGACCCAGCTGCTATCTCCCAGGGTGACTGCCTACGGGGACCCACTGGTAGACCCCGCCCCAGCTGTGAATGCCTGAAGGGCCCTCATCTTAATAGTGGGTCTCTCAGCTCCTCAAGAGGGGCCTTAGGTGTCTGATGAATAAAAACGCAAGTCAGCAATGAGTGATTCTCCAGGCTTTGTGTTTGGGTGATAATGGAAACTCACAGAGTGGGGAGGAATGCTTACCCCTCGAAAGAAAAAGTAGACTCCCCCTGATACAGACAGAATCTCTCCAATGACTCGGAAATAGTCTTCAGTCTTGTTCACCTTAAAGGGAGGCTGCAAGATGCAGAGAAGTTGGTGACTCTGTTTACTCATTCATTCCTTAGACAAACACTTACCAGGTGCCAAGCCCTGTGACTAAGACCCAGCCTCTGCCTAGAGGCTCAGCCTCTATCAGGAGAAATAGACACGTAGGTAAAGGTAATGTGGGGACACCCGCAAGGAGGCCACCCTGTGGGACCTGATGTCCCAAAGCGGCAGCCCCCAGCTGCCAAATGGAGCATCCTTACAATGCTGAGCTGTCTCCCCAGGCAGTGAACCTGGCCCTGAGCTCTGCAAGGCTGGGGAGCAGGGGGATGGTACAGATGGAGACACTTTGCAGACCAAACCCCACGCGAATCCTGCTGTTCCCACAGCCCATGGCAAACAGGACTGTCCAGGTTTCCCACTGATGGTGGAAGGAGAGACGCTGCCCACATACGTGTGTGTCATTCTTGTGTTGTCAGCCACTGTCTTCCGGAGCGGGATTTTTGTTTTCAGCCTATCATTCATGTTTCATAAGCACACACAGAGGGTCATCATGAGTCAAAATCGATTCGACAGCAACTGGTAGTTCACTAGCCTGTCTTCTTCGCACATTTCTCTTTTCTCTTAAAATGAAGCCAATCAATGGCCTTAATATACCCTTGCCGTCGAGTCGATTCCGACTCATAGTGACCCTGTAGGACAGAGTAGAACTGCCCCCATAGGGTTTCCAAGCTGTGGCTGGTGGATTTGAACTGCCGACCTTTTGGTTAGCAGCCCAGCTCTTAACCACTGCGCCACCAGGGCTCCAAATGGCCTTAATAGGTGGGCAGAAATCAGGTCTCACCTAATCATGAAATTGAGTTTTTGAACCAAATTTACAAGCAAGGCATCCTGGAAATAAAGGCAGCAAATGAAGCACCTTGAGTACTGAATGGAAAGGACTCAGTTCAGAAAGCCGATGGAGCCTACGACTTCTGGTTAGGAAAAAGTCTGTTCTCAAGCTGATTTAAAGAATGGCCTGGGAACTAGCACAGAAGACGTGCTCAAAAGTATATAACCAGGCAATGAACTCTGAGCGAGGGAGCACGTAAGGGGACAAAAGAGATCAGGTGAGCAGGGTGGCAATGGGCTCAGGGCCTATACCATTCCTGACCCTTGGGGTACCAGCCCGGGGGAGCGGCTCCCTGAGCCTTATTCTTCCATCTTTTCTACCCTAATGCTCTCCCTGTGCAGCCAGGGGCCTCAGCAACCACACACTTAGCCCTATAGAGCCACGGGGCTAGAGGAGAGGGGCTGAGAATAGGAAATCGGCAGGTCACCAGGAGAACCTGAGAAAGGAGAGGCCATGCACAGGGATATAAGGATCACCAGGTGGTCCTTGCATCCCTTCAGGGAGACTGGAAGGAGTCCAGGACAGAGCCTGGGGCCTTGGGGGTCTTATGGGAATGTCCATGCCCCTCCCTTCCCCCCATCCAAGGCCTGAGCCTTGAGCCGCACCAAGCCAATCACAGGCCTGTGGTAGGCAGCCATGGTGAAGATGATCATATACAGGCAGTAGATGAAGAAGTTGAAGTAGAAGATCCGCTTGACAAATCTGTCCCACTTGTCCTGCAGGAGTCGGTTCAGTGGCTCCACCAAGAGCATGTCGTGGCGATTCTAAGCGGAGCAAAGAGAGGGGAGGCTCACTCCTCACACCAGGAACCGCCTTCCATGGCCTAGTCAGCCAGCGGCTGAGCTCTGCACACCCACATCGGTACATGCCCAGGCACAACCTCGGCCTGCAGTTACAGTGATCTGGGCCTGCGGGCAGCCAGCATCTGGGGGCTGGGCCCAGCTCTGCGGGGGCTCTGTGCAGAACCCATCCCCTCCAGCCTCAGTCCTCAGGTGTACAGTGAATGAGAGGGTAAATTGAACGAGCCCTACATACCCCCTGACTTTTAAGTGTTGCCCGACATTCTGTGCCCATTATCTCTAATAACTCACTCCCAAGAGCCTACATCCTAATTATTCACACAATACAGGAAGAGGCTGGCACCAGCAGAGCCTGGCAGGAGTCCCCTCAGGGAGGGGCTGAGGGCAGGCCTCTGGATTCCTCATTTCTCACATTTCCAGCCCTAGGTTAGGCAAGCTACCAAGGCAGGAGTGGCAATTCCCTGTACATAAGAGGTGGAGGGAACTAGGAAGCCTTTCCCTCAGTGGGTGGGATTACACACCTGCTTTGGAGCAAAAGTCGGGTATCCAGGAGAACCTTGTTAAAGTTCAAGTCACTCTAGTATAGATAAGCTGAAATCAGGTAACTCCAGCCTCTCTCAGGCCATCGAGCCTAACCTCCAGCCCAGGGTTCAGATCCCCCAACAAGTTCCTGTTCAGTGTCCTCTTGAATACATTTAAGGATGGGAGGCTCCTCACTGCCTCAAGAAGTCTATAGGGAGACACCAAATGAAGGAAGAGCTATTCTCTGAAGCTGGTCTTTTCCACCTTCTAAAAGTGGCCCTGAATTTGCCCTCTGGGGCCCCAGAACAAATTTGCTCTCCTGGCCCTTAAGAGCCTTCAGAGAGGGTAAGACAATGCTACTAAAATGTCAATTCTTCCCAACTTGGTCTACAGACGGAACAAAATTCCAGTCAAAAGCCCGGCAAGTTATTTTGTGGATGTTGACAAACTAATTCTAAAGTTTATATGGAAAGGTGAAAGACTCAGGATAGTTAACACAATACTGAAAAAGAATAGAGTTGGAGGACTGATGCTCTCTTCAAGGCTTACTTTAAAGCTACAGTGATCAAAATAGTGTGGTATTGGTGAAGGAACAAACAAACTGATCAGTGAAAGAGAATAGGGAGCCAAGAAACAGACCCACACAAATATAGTCAACTGACCTTTGACAAAAGAGTAAAGGCAATTCAATGGGGAAAGGACAGTCCTTTCAACAAATGGTGCTGGGACAACTGAACATCCCCATGGGAAAAAATGAATCTAGACACAGAGCTTGTATCCTTCATAAAAATTAACTCAAAATGGATCATTGGCCTAACTGTAAGACACAAAACCATACAACTTCTAGAAGACAACATAGGAGAAAATCTAGGTGACCTTGGGCTTCAAGATGACTTTTCATATATACCAAAAGCACTATCAATAAAAGAAAAAATTGAGAAGTTGGACTTCATTACAGTTGAAAACTTCTGCTCTGCAAAAGACACTGGTAAACATTTGATTGTGGTGGGTATCGTTTGGGGTCTCAAAAGCCTGTAAGCAGCCATCTAAGATACATCTACTGGTCCCACCTCAGCTGGAGCAAAGGGGAATGAAGAAAACCAAAGACAAGGGAAAGATTAGTCCAAAGGACTAATGGACCACAACTACCACAACTTCCACCAGACTGAGCCCAGCACAACTAGATGGTGCCTGGTTACCACCACTGACTGCTCTGGCATGGATCACAATAGAGGGTCCCGGACAGAGCAGGAAAAAAATATAAAACAAAATTCAAATTCACACATACTCAAAAAAAACACCAGGCTTGCTGGTCTAACAGAGACTGGAGAAACCCCAAGAGTATGGCCCCTGAATACCCTTTTAACTCAGTCCTGAAATCACTCCTGAGGTCTACCCTTCAGCCTAAGATTAGACAGGTCTATAGGGCCAATATCATTAAGGCTGACTCTACTTTGAGGAGGCAGCTCTTCCCCAGTCATATTTTGAGTGTCTTCCAACCTGAGGGACTCATCGTCCGGCACTGTATCAGACAATGTTCCGCTGCTGTTCATAAGGTTTTCACTGGCTAGTTCTTTTCAGACGTAGACCACCAGGCCCTTCTTCCTAGTCTGTCTTAGTCTGGAAGCTCAGCTGAAACCTGTCCACCATGGGTGACCCTGCTGGTATTTGAATACCTGTGGCATAGCTTCCAGCATCACAGCAACACACAAGCCCCCACAATACAACAAACTGACAGACGAATGGATGGAGTCAAGCTTTCAGGACCTTCGTTTGCTGATGTGGCAAGACTCAAAATAAGAAGAAACTGCAAACATCCATTAATAATTGGAACCTGGAATGTATGAAGTATGAATCTAGGAAAACTGGAAATCGTCAAAAATGAAATGGAACGCATAAAGATTGATATCTGAGGCATTAGTGAGCTGAAATGGACTGATATTGGTCATTTTGAATCAGACAATCATATGGTCTACTATGCTGGGAATGAAAACTTGAAGAGGAATGGCGTTGCATTCATTGACAAAACGAACATTTCAAGATGGATCCTGAAGTACAATGCTGTCAGTGATAAGGTAATAGCCATACACCTACAAGGAAGACCAGTTAATATGACTATTATTTGAATTTATGCACCAAGCACTAAGGCCAAAAATGAAGAAATTGAAGATTTTTACCAACTTTTGCAGTATGAAATTGACTGAACATGCAATCAGGACACATTGATAATTACTGGTGATTGGAACGCGAAAGTTGGAAACTAAGAAGGATCGGTAATTGGAAAATATGGCCTTGGTGACAGAAAAAATGTTGGAGATCGCATGATTGAATTTTGTAAAACCAAGGACTTCTTCATTGCAAATACCTTTTTCCACCAACATAAACTGCAACTATACACATGGACCTCACTGGATGGAATACACAGGAATCAAATCGACTACATCTGTGGAAAGAGACAACGGAAAAACTCAATATCATCAGTCAGAACAAGGCCAGGGACCGACTGTGGAACAGACGATCAATTGCTCGTATGCAAGTTCAAGTTGAAACTGAAGAAAATAGTCTACAAGAGCCAAAGTGCGACCTTGAGTATATTCCACCTGAATTTAGAGACCATCTCAGGAAAAGATTTGACATGTTGAACACTAATGACCAAAGACCAGAGGAGTTGTGGAATGACATCAAGAACATGGTAGATGAAGAAAGCAAGAGGTCATTAAAAAGACAGGAGAGAAAGAAAAGACCTAAACAAATGTCAAAAGAGACTCTGAACATTGCTCTTAAATGTCAAGTAGCTAAAGCAAAAGGAAAAAATGATGAAGTAAAAGAGCTGAACAGAAATTTCAAAGGGTGGCTCGAGAAGACCAAGTAAAGTATTATGATGACATGAGCAAAGACGTGGAGATAGAAAACCAAAAGAGAAAAACATGCTCGGCATTTCTCAAGCTGAAAGAACTGAAGAAAAAATTCAAGCCTCTAGGTGCAGTACTGAAGGATTCTATGGGGAAAATATTAAACGACACAGGAAGCATCACAAGAAGATGGAAGGAATACACAGAGTCACTATACCGAAAAGAATTTGTTGACATTCAGTCATTTCAGAGGTAACATATGATCAGGAACTGATGGTACTAAAGGAAGAAGTCCAAGATGCACTGAAGGCATTGGCGAAAAACAAAGCTCCAGGGATTAGCAGAACACCAACTGAGATGTTTCATCAAACGGATGCAGCACCGGAGGTGCTCACTTGTCTATGCCAAGAAATTTGGAAGACAGCTACCTGGCCAACCGACTGGAAGAGATCCATGTTCATGCCTATTCCCAAGAAAGGTGATCCAAACAAATGCAGAAATTATCGAACAATATCATTAATATCACAGGCAAGCAAAATTTTGCTGAAGATCATTCAAAAGTGGCTGCAGCAGTATATCGACAGGGAACTGCCAGAAATTCAAGCTGGATTCAGAAGAGGACAGGGAACCAGGGATATCATTACTGATGTCAGAC